GGGTTGCACTACTGGCTATAAAAGAAACTGCACTAGGACCTGTTATGGGACCTGTAGTAGGAGGCGATCGTAAGAGTTGCGCTGAGAGTACTACAACCCACTCAAGCAAGATCTATAACGAGAGCTGTATTAGCTACTGCGTCAGCGAACTGTAGTAGAAGATGCATTGAGGCATACATAGTACGCATTGTGACAGGAGCTGTAGTAAGAGCTGTACTGCTGGCTACACGAGGAACTGCATTAGGCACTGTAGATAGAGGCGCATTGCGAACTGCAGTGGAGTATGTGCTGCTGATTGTTGTTGGATGTGCAGCAAGAGACGTATTGGGCATGGTGCGGAAAGCTGTACCACTGGCTGCAACGGGAATTGCTCTAAAAACTGCGCCAGGATGTGCCATCGGATGTGCAACGTGATCTGCAGCAGGAGCCGCGAGAGAGTGTGCAGTAGGAACCAATCACGCTGCTCACAGCTGCAGCACGAACCGCTGCAGGAGCTGCGCTGCACCAGCTGGCGTGCGGTGCGGCACTCGGCGACGGGTGACCGTGGAGGCCGCCCAAGGCCGCCGACGGCCGCCGCTGGGCGGGGCCCACCCCGCGCGGCGGGCCTGTCGAACTGGAGCAGGCGGCCCGAGTGCCCGTTGAGGTGCGCCGCGGCCTCGCGCACGCATCGGGAGTCGAGCCGGAGCGCAGACGGGGGCGGCGGCCGGCTCTGCTGCCTCGCAGCTCCCGGCCAGCGTCGCGGGCCCGACGGGCCGGAGGCGTGCCAGGATCTCCGGCAACAGGCTCAGGGCACATCTGGCTCGCGCGCGCGCGGGGCCGCCCGCCCCCTGTGGGGCCCCGGACGAAGAGTACCCTGGCAGGGGCTCCCCAAAGATGCCAGAACTCTCCGGGCTGGTCTTGCGGACCGCCCGAGAGCGTTCCAGGGGCGCCCAGAGAGAATCCAACGGAGCTCCAAGAGGGCATTCCAGTCGAGATCCATGGGAAGCAGACACCAAAATGGCTCCAAGAGCACCATGAGGCTTCAACATATTCAAAATGACCCAAAAGAGCCCCAAGAGCGACCCCGCAGGCCGAAGGTCATTGATTTTCAACAGATGTTTGAAGGATCTTGCAGTTTGTGCCTTTTCCATCGTCCAACCGCTCAAGACGGCCCAAGAGACCCAAGAGACTCGCACGATCGCCTCGAACCAGCCCAGGCAGCTCGCTGGGGACGGCCCCATCACATCCGAACAGGACCTCAGGAAGGCCCAAGAGGCCTCCCAAGAGGGTTCCAGAGGCTCCCAAGAGGGGGGATCCGAACTGACATGTCGAACCCTCTCCCGTAAGATGGCCCCACAGACCGCCAGCGAGCTCCCAAGAGGCCACCAAAAGGCCCCCAAGAGGCCACCAGAGGAGAAAGAACACCCCCAAAGAGGCCCCAAGGCGCCCCACCGAAGCCCCTGGAGGTCTCAAAATACTGCCAAGAGGCCGCGGAGAGGCCTTCCAAGACCCCAAGAAGCATCCCAAAGAGACGTCTTGTCCACGACCCAGATCAGGGCCAAGAATGCCCCAAGAAGACATCGAGAAGCCTCATCCTCGTCCTCTCATCTTCCTCCTCCTGCTCCTCATCCTCCTACTCCTCCTCCTCCTCCTCATCCTATTCATCATCATCATCATCATCCTCACCCTCAGTATCATGCTCATCCTCATCCTCATCAGCATTAGCAGCAGCAGCATCATCATCAGCATCATCCCCCTCCTCCTCCTCCTCCTCATCATCATCATCATCCTCCTCTTCCTCCTACTCATCATTATCCTGCTCCTCCTCCTCCTCCCCGTTCGCCACGAGCACACCAACATATGGCACCAGTGATACAAGATGGGCCAGCGGAATGAGCGAAGCAATTAACAGGCAGGATAACATATGTCAAATTGTCAGATGCAAACCCCGCGCGCTGCTGGGGCGAAGCTCGGCGTCGTCGGTGCCAGTGTCATCGTGTTCGTCCTGCTTGTCGTCGTCATGTTCGTCGCCGTTGCTGCCAGCGTCGTCGTCATCGTAGTCACCACCATGTTCGTCGTGCTCGTCGTCACGTTCGTCGTCGCCTTCGTCGTCGTGTGCGTCGTCGCCGTCGTGCTCGCGTCGTCGTCGTCCTCGGCGTCGTGTCGTCGTCGCTTGTCGTGCTGGCTCGTCGTCGCGTTCGCAGTCGGTGAGTCGTCGTCGTCGTGGTCGAGTCGTCGCGACCGTCCTCGGCGTCGTGTCGTCGTCGTCGTGTTCGTCGTCGTGCTCGTCGTGGTGCTCGTCGTCGTGCTCGTCGTGACGGTCGTCACGATCACTGTGGTCTTCTGCTGGCGCGCACACGGGGGCCCTGTCTTCAAGCTGGGGATTCTAGAACCCCCCGACCCCCCGCGCACCTGGGGGGGGATGGTGATTCGACAGTGACTGCCAGGCTCTTGAAGGAATTATTCTCCCTTGCGGTACGAGCCCCACCCACAAGCCCCTACCGAAGACGTCCTCTCCTATCTTGGCATGACTCATCCCTGCACCAGCACCCAGACCAAGCAAGCCCCGCCTGCTCCGAATCCCTGGCACGACGAGCTTCTTTCCACCCCAAACAGCAAAAACGAGCACACGAACAAAGTAGATCATGGGGAAAGTATACATGGCATGCAAGCCGCTCGACGAGGCGGATGACAATACAGTTCAGGGGGCGCACACGACAGGAGTAATGTTAGGCAGAGGTGCTGGAAACCTTCAGGCCGCTTATCGTCACCGCCATGCCCGGGCAGAGCCCGGACGGAGCTTGCGAACTCGCCATGCTGGCATATCACCTGGCACCGCTCCCTCCCTGCCCGCGGGTGGCTCTCAAGAGAAGACTCTTCTCCTGTTCTTCATCCTCCTCCTCCTCCTTCTCCTCCTCCTGCTGTTTCGCCTCCCTTGCCTTCAAGACAGGCATGCTCGTGTCAGAGAGGATCCCATAAACAGGGGGGCCATACCACATACTCCCAAAGGAAAGGGAGCCATCTATGCCAACTCCTCCTCTTCCTCCTCCTCCTCCTCCTACTCCTCCTCCTCCTCCTCCTCCTCCTCCTCCTCTCGCTCCATCCCTGTTGCGTCACACATCGGTAAAATGTACCACGCATACCTGAAGACCAAGATGTTCCCGTCGATAAGACGAGCAGATGGTGAAGAGCAGTCTGCTGCCATCCCAGGGCGTGGCACCCCCATGGCTATCTTAGCTGGCAGGATGACACAAAGGTTAACGGTTGCCAACAACGTGGGCGTTGGCTTCCTCTTTGGGGATGTAACCCACGCGTCCTACACTGCCACCCGTGAGCTAATCCTTCGTACCGACACCTCCCCCTCTGCCACCCGGTCTCTGTTGGAGTGTGCGGGCCTCCCTGAATCCGATCCCCGATTGCTAAAGCTACGCTTGCAGGCAATACCCCTCCTCAGGCGACATGGGTGGTCGGATCATTTTGTCGACATGGTGGAGGAGGTGCTCGGACTGGGATGGCTTCAGGTTCCAGGGGGTGACAGGCTTGCCATTACTTTCAGGGATACGCACCCAGGGCGCCCGTCGGAGACGCGCTCTTCATGTCCATTATTGCTGAGGTCATCGGGAATGCTGCTGGTCAATTGCAGCAAGCGGGCATGGTCTGTTCAACTCTCGGCGCCAAGCGGTGATGTCGGGTTGCCACCATCCGAAGATCAAGTTGAGTTGCCAGGCCTACTGCATGCAGATGATTAAGCATTCGCCCTAGTAGCGCATGTTGACGCGTTTCTGCCTGCGCTCCCTATCGTTGCCGCGGAGTTGTCAATGCGTATGCCCCAGAGGCCAGCCAACTAAAACTATAAACGTGCAAAGCCTCCCCTTTGGACACCCGAAATGGGCACGGAAACAATGGGCACAATGCCAAACAGCAAATGCTGTCCCGAACCAACAGCGGCCGCTGTTTGGCAGGCGGCCTTCTGTCCCAAATGGACACTATCCGCGGCGACGCCGACAGCGACTGCTGTCGGTCTTTGTACCCATTCTTTCCGTACCCATGTCGGTCGTCCCGATCCTCCTCCTCCTCCTCCTCCTCCTCCTCCTCCTCCTCCTCCTCCTCCTCCTCCTCCTCATGATCACCCTCATCAGAATCATCATCGTCATCATCAGATTACAATCAACACCATCACTATCAGCACCATCACCATTATCATCGCCAGCATCAGCATCAGCGTCAGCATGAACATCAGCATCATCACCATCATCACCCTCATCATCGTCACCATAATCAGTTTCATCGATGCTAGAGCCAAGAACAAAGAAATAGTTCGTTATATCAACTCGGAAATAAGTGAAGCTCGTCGCATGGAGCTCCCAGTCGGTGGACATAGACTTACAGAGGAAGGCGTCCTCTTCGCAGGTGACGTCCTCGGGATTGCGCATCCACAGCGGCTGGTGCGTGTTGGACTGCTCCCTCTCGTGCAAGCCATCCTCGGAATTGGGGCCTTGCACGGGCCTGGACTCTGGCACCTCGTCGGTTATGACGGCGCTCTGCAGTAGGCCGGCATCGAGAACTGCGTGTCGTAGATCTGGCCAGCCCTGTTCTCGTAATTTAAATCCTGCCGAAGGCCAGTGGCAGCACCAAGCCGGAAAAGGCGCCGACGAAGCCGAGCGCGGTGCGCCTGAGCTCGTGAGCGCCGCCCGCCTAGTGAACGTTTTTTCATTCGGCGTTTCGACACTGGGCGGAACGGGGGGGAGGGGGGGAGGGGTCTGCCTCCGGACCTCTGCTCAGTGCGACTGTTTGGAACCGTGCGTCCTATGGGGGAGACTCCACCTGCTCGAATCAGGCGCCAAAAACAGAAAAACAGCCAAGATCTACTCCACGGGGGGGGGAGGGGGGGGTGCGAGGGCCCGCGCCGATCGGCAAAAGAATGAATAAAAAAAACGCTCACCTACGGAGGCGCCACAATGTGTTCCATCCGCCGCTGCCGCTTCGCCGTGGCGGGCTTCCAGCTCCGTCTGGAGCAAGGCCCTCTGCTCGATGCTTTCGGGTTGAAGGCGTGCGCTACGGAGGCCGCTGCTTCATCAACTCGAGCCCAAGCGGCGACCTTGTCATTATTCATATGATGTTTAGTACTGATATTATTAGTACTAGTACTATTGACAGTATTAGTATTAGCTTTACAATAAGTATTAGCATTAGTATTAATATCATTCGTATGGGTATTAGTATGGGTACTATCATTAGTAGTAATAATGTTGCGAATAACATTATTATTAGTATCGATACAATGTTAGAAAACAAAGAAACATTGTTAACATTATTAATAATATGATTATTCATGTTACTCGTATTGGTATTATTAGTGGTGTTACTGCTCGGATTGGTAGTGAAGTATTGTTATTACCATCATCGTCACCATCGGCATCATCATCATCATCATCATCATCATCATCATCATCATCATCATCAATATCATCATCAGCAGCATCATCAGCATCATCATCATCAGCATCACCATCACCATTACCATCATCATCATCATCATCATCATCATCATCATCATCATCACCATCAGCATCATCATCATCAGCATCATCATCGACGTCGTCATCATCATGATCACAATCAGCATGATCATGATCATCATCGTCGTCATCATCATCATCGTCGTCACCATCGTCGACGTCATCGTCGGCGTAATCATCATCATCATCATCATCATCATCATCATCATCGTCATCATCATCATCATCATCATCATCATCATCATCATCATCATCATCGGCATCATCACCATCACCATCACCACCACCATCACAATCACAATAATCATCATCATCAGCATCATTATCATCATCACCATAGTCATCATCACCATCACCAACACCAGCATAATCGCCATCAGCATCACCACCATCATCAAATTCATCACCATCATCATCATGATCATTACCATCGTCATCGTCATCATCATCATCATCGTCATCCTCGTCATCATCATCACCGTAACCTTAACAATCACCATCATCGAATCAGTATCACCATCATCATCATCAGCAGCAGCATCATCATGATCATCATCATCACGATGAGCATCGGCACCATCATCATCATCATCCTCATCGTCATCGTTACCGTCATCATCATCACCATCACCTTCACCATCATCATCAGCAGCAGCATCAGCATCATCAATAATCAGCATCATCATCGTCATCACCCTGAACAGCAATCATCATCATCAGCATCATCATCCTGATCATCATCATAATCACCATCATCATCACCAGCATCATTATGATCGTCGTCAACAACATCATCATCACCATCGCCATCAGCATCAGTATCATCATAACCATCAGCATCATCATCATCAGCAGCATCACCATCATCATCGTCACCGGCATGTTCATGATCGTCATCATCGTCATCGCCAGCATGATCATCACCAGCAGCATCACCATGATCGTCAACATCAGCATCGTGATCATCATCCTCATCACCACCATCATCACTATCATGGTCGTCACCATCATCATCATCATCATCATCATCATCATCATCAAGATCGTCATCATCATCGTCATCATCACAGTCGGCTCGTCATCACCATCAAAATCACAATCGTCATCACCATCATCGCAATCAACACAGCCAACATCATGATCATCAACAGCATCCTCATCATCATCCTCATATTCATTCTCATCCTCCTCAACATCATCATCAGCATCATCATCAGCACCATCATCCTGATCACCACAGTCTTTGTCATCATCATCACTATCAGCGTCATTATCATCGTCGGCATCAGCATCGTCAACATCATCATCATCATCACCATCGTTATCGGCATCATCACAATCATTAGCATCATCATCATCACCAGCATCATCGTCGTCGTCATGATCCTCAGCATCACAGTCATCCACCTCAACCTCATCATTATCATCATCGTCATCATCATCATAATCGTCATCATCGCCAGCATCATCATCATCATCATCATCATCATCATCACCATCATCATTATCAACACCACCATCATCACCTGCACCATGATCGTCAGCATCATACTCGCCAACACCGTCGTCATCAGCATCATCATCACAAACATCATCATCATCGTCGTCGTCGCCGTCGTCGTCATCACCAGCATCATCATCATGGTCATCATCATCATCGTCATCATCATCATCATCATCATCATCATCGGCATCATCAGAGTCAGCATCATCATGACCATCATCATTATCAGCATCATCATCATCGTCACCAGCATCGTCATGATCGTCATAATCATCATCACCATCATCATCACCATCACCGTCACCACCATCAGCATCATCAACAACAGCAGCAACATCGTCGTCATCATCATCATTATCATAATTATCATCATCACCATCACCTAATCATTTTCATCATCATTCTCATTGTCATCACCATCATCATCGCCATCACCAATATTATCGTCATCAGCATCATCACCATCATCATCATCATCATCATCCTCATCAGCATACCCCGCATCCTCGTCCTCCTACTCATCATCATAAGCATCATCATCGGCATCATCATCACCATAATCAGCACGACCATCGTCATCATGATCATCATCATCATCATCATCGTCATCATCATCATCATCACTACCATCATCATCACAAGTAGCAACATCATCAGCATCAAAATCATCAGCAGCATCATCGTCATCATCAGCATCTTCATCATCACCATCAGCATTATCAACACCAACTCCGCCCCTACCATCATCATCATCGTCAGTATCACCAGCAGCGTCATCATCATCGTCGGAATC